CCAACACATCAATAATATAAATCAACACTCCAATACATTTAAACCAAACTAAGTCGGTGCAGTCACACAATAACAGCAGTTAGTATTAGCGAGACATTTAAGTGATACACAGCAAACTTAATCAACACGGGCCCATCATCAACAGCAGTCACAGCCAACGAGTAAGTAAGTGGCAAAGAATCAAACAAAGGAAAATCAGTACAAAAGCTAATAGTACATCACCTAGCTTACAAAGCCAACAACGGATCTTTTAGCAATTTGAGGTGCTTGGAGTGGCATCCAAACAGGATTAATAAAGTAGCAGGCAAACAACAACAGGCAGTTAGATAGAACATTAGCTAGGAGCAAACCAACAAACAGCAGTTACGTAGCACCATTAGTAAGCAGCAGCAACAACAAGCAGTTAGTAGCAAGCATTAGTTGAGCAGCAACAACAAAACAGCAAGATTAGTAGCAACATTGTAGCAGGCAAACAACAACAGGCAGGTTAGTAGCAACATTAGTAGCAGCAACAGACAATGTAAACAGCAGTTAGATAGCAAATTAGTAGGCAGGCAACAACAGCAGCAAGTCACTCGTCGGCAATACCCCAGGAAGAGACAATAGACTTATAAGACTATAATATTATGCGGGGTTATTTGCCGGTGGCTGTGGTGCGCGGGTCGCGCGCCTCGGGAGCCTCACCTGCTTCAGAGCTAAACGGGTATTGGGACAACGAACATTGAATGCTAAACGCTAGGATATGATATCTAGGTGTAGGCGCCATCAGCGAATGCATTTTAACTGCAATGGCCCGGACTAAAAGCTTTCGGTTACGTTCGTAATGACCAATTGGGTCTCCCATTTCTCACTTTATGTTCCGACGCGGGTATGATTGCGGGTTGGATAGGCAATGGCATCGAGCTACGCTCGGTGAGCAGACGAGGACTGCAGTTAGAGGAGACAAGCACGCAGAGGAGTATGAGTAGACGCACGAAGAATGAGCGAGCTGCAGACAAGTAGAGGAGAGAGCTAGCACACAGAAGAGAGAGCAAGAGAGGCGAGACGATACCAGAGTAGAGAACGACAACTCGCTGGCCAGCAGAGTGACCAGAGAAGTAGCGAGAAAGAGAGAGAAAGAGAGACATGGAGCCAACAGAGAGCCATGAGAAACCCACCAAGCGATCAAGGGATGAAGATTAAGAATGATGTGATTATTGAAGCAAAGGGACGAAAACGACCGAAGGGGAGGGAATGAGAGAGATTGATTCGAGTGAGCTCACCGGGCAGGAGATCTGTACAGAATGATTAGTGATAAGAGAGAGAGAAAACCGAGTTGTTTTGAGTACTATTAAATGGTAGATCGCGCCAGATCCATTTATTAGTTCGTTTGAATTCACTAACGAGTCAATGGATAAAATAGTTATTAAGACATTATTTTAGTATCATAGAATTTATTAAGAAAAGAAGAAGGTGCAAATGAAGATTTAATAACGGAAAGGGAGTAGAGCTGAGATAAAAAATTGTATGAGCCGCAATAGTGTGGTACGGAAGTGAGGGGGTTGGGAGGTGAGTAGGTGGCGGAGTGCATGGGAAGAGAATGAAGATAGAAGCACCGTAAATGTTGTTCATAGGTTTTCCACGACAGTAAGAACAGTAAATGAAAAAATCGAACTGAGGAGAGAACTTATATCTCGATCCAAATAGATAGTATAGAAAAAAATCTTAAGATAGGTATGGTTGAGATTGTTGTGAGTTGTGTGGTTGGGTGTCTGTCGATGATGTGCATGTTTATGTTGTGTCGGGTGTGTGACTGTGTGTGTGTGTGTGTTCAGTTGTAAAATGGCGTGTGAGTTGGTGTGTTTCGTAGTGTGTATCGCTAGTTGAGTGTGTGTGGGTGTGTTGTTGTTTATTTTCTGGTTGTGGGCTTGTATAGTGTGTGTTTTTAGGTGGACGTTGTAGAATTGTAGTGACTGAGAGACACTCGATTAGCTCATAAAACCCGAACTCTACTATGGAGTAGATTGAGCGCAATATTATGAGAGTATAATATGCTACAAAAACAGGGATTATTCATATCGCACATGTTGGTGATCGTTTAAATAACACTATATCTGGTGATGAAACGAGACCTGATCAAGCGTCCCATAGCATGTACACTGGGATGGTGTACGCAGTTCAGCTGTGTCACAGGTAGCACCAACCCTGCTGTGAAATGCATGGCGTAGTAAAATGACATATTCACAAATATACTACTACAATACGTGATTATTGCTTACACATCTATCGTAGCATTGACCATCACTGCATATATACTAGATAAACTTGTTATTTTGATGATTTAAGTTTTAATCTCAATACTATTCCAATCCTTTAATAAATATGCGCCTTAAAAGTTATAGCTCCAGTGTCTATTCTCCATTGGTATTGTCCCTGAATCACGTACCCCAAGATCGATAATCTATTAACAATGGCGTCTGCTTGCGTCTTACAGGCGGACAACAAGAAGACCCGGCGAGCGCATGCGCCTGTTTTTGGGCCACCTGTGCTGAGATATTCTCGGTTCCTTCCTCCAATCATTAGCGGCGAGGAAGAAAAGAAGGTAATGAGCAGCTAGCCTAGATGCGGAGAGCTTCCGTCCGCGTTCAATATCGGCAGTTTTCCAACACGGTGTCCTGAGCTTAACTTACGACAGTCACGTCATCGTTGCAGTTACGATGGTTGGTCGCCTAGGTTGCTCTAGTTGGTCTATACAGAAACCTGCTCGTCAGGCAACTATGTCAAAAACGTCTTAGACATGTACGATAATTTGTAACTCTACAGCAAACAGACTCACATCCGGTATGGAATTAGTCGGCATGGATTTCTTAAATGTGCTTGGTCCGTTGTAATGACATGCAATAACTAAATGGAAAAAATGAAATCAAGCTATATTCGAATTTACTCACTTTACTGCTCAAAATCACGTGTTGCTATACTAATATCAGCACTAATTACTAATTATCAATTAATAAAATCAATAAATAATTACTAATATCAGCTATACCCGTGTAACCCCTTCACTGCCGCTACAGGAATCTTCCTTACGCGGCAGATATGAAGGTATAATTCAACGGCTGCGGTAATCGGAACAACAGGGCAAAAAATCATGAATCCAGAAACGAAAATTATGAAAAAGATGAAAATGATGTGCGAAAAGTGAACGTGAGAATAGGATGATACATAGCGCGCGGCAACGCGCGCGTAGAAAGAGTGCGTTAGTGCGCATGCGCATATTTGTGTGAGACCGCGTGCGCGTGAGCCTACGTATATATATATATGTCTATATTCTGATTTACTGATAGCGTTTTCGAATCATTCTTCACCGTATACGAGTCTGTCTGAAATATTCGGCACACCTTCAGAGCGAGACAGACGTAGCGTTGCTTGCTTGCTCTTACATATGAATTTACGTATGTGTTTAATTTTTTTTTCAGAAAATGACTGAAATAACGTACACTGCGAATAAACAGATGGATACAGAATTACAATCCATCGACCTGACATCCAAGCGATGACGTGTAGTAGGCGACGAGGCGTAGTTACGCGTTTAAGGTAGCGCCAAGCCTATGGCTGCTACACTATATAATTAGAATACATTCTCGCAATCATGACACCTACTCACGAGTCATGTAGTTTTATTACCTCCAACTTAAAAACTTACAGGTTAAAATGATTTTATGATGACCAACATAGAATGGTAACTAGCGCTGAACATCCAACTTGTTCTCACATTTTACTGTGTATCGATACCCTTCCTCATTATGTAGTTATAGCTTCGAACGTCAGACTTGGTTTCACCAATAAACACAGTTAAGTGGCGATCATTGGCACGCTATATGATGCCAACAAGAGGCAGCTTTCATATTTGTTGGCGGGGTTATCTCTATCTCTATTATTCACTCCTGATAATATATAGGTCTATTATTATTCACTCCTGACGAAATGAATACCCCTCTATAAATTCACGCGTGCAACAGTCTTAATTCCGTGCATTTTGCATGTAAAAATAACATGTAGAACGTTTTCTACCAACACGTCCACGCGGTTACCATGGTTTAGTACATCATCGCACACATCGTGCACCGAATGAAGATACACACATATTAGCACTCTGACAGCGTTTTGTTTGCTGTGCTCACACACGCGGATACAGGGCGCCATAGCCGGACTGCTTGGCTCAATGGCTTTCATATTCTGGATCGGATTTGGAGGCATGGCACTGCAGAACAGTCCTGACCTTCTGCCTACGTCGGCGCATGGCTGCAACATCAGTGACGTCATGAACGCCTCTGCCCTCATCCTGTCAACGGCCGACAACTGGTATATGTGATTACATTTACGCGGAGTTTTCTGTCCGCAGATTTACCATTTATGTATAAACCTTGTTTATTGTGTTAAATGGTAGATCAGGAGTCCATTTATTAGTTCGTTTGAATTACACTAACTAGTCAATGGATAAAATATTTATCAAGACATTATTTCTGTATCATATTAATTTTATTAGAAAAAGAAGGTGCATATCATTTAATACAATAGTAGCTATATTATTTATCCGCATATTGTACGAGTAGTAAGAGTAGTATCGATACATGGCATTTATATAGAGCAGTTCTGTTTCATTTACCCGTGCATTAAAACGACTAGGCTAGATCTCACAAATAAATAAGAAAACTGAATAGGTGTAGATGAATTTGGTCGCATGACATTATGTTAGCGGACTTGCTATGTCTAACCATAGGTTTTTCATTTCTTGCTATATTTAGGGATGTAAATCAGATGACAGCTATAGCTACAAACCCGAGTATAGTGGAGAGTGCAAATGGAAATTATATGTACAGGATATCGTACATGTGGTATGCCTTGATCAGCGTCATAGCATGTACACTGATTGGTGTAGCAGTCAGCTGTGTCACAGGTATGCACAACTCTGCTGTGAAATGCATGCGTAGTAATGATATTCACAATATACGTACTACAATACGTCTTATTGCTTACATCTATGTAGCATTGACCATCACGATACTAGATGAACTTGTTATTTTTGATGATTGATTTTTGATCTTCAATACATTCCAATCCGTTTAATAAATATGCCCTTAAAGTTATTAGCTAGTGTCTATTCTCCATTTGTATTGTCCCTGATCACGTCCCCAGATCGATAATCTATTAACGATGGCGTCTGCTTACGTCCTTACAGGCAGAAACAAGAAGCCGGCGAGCGCGCGCCTGTTTTGGCCACCTGTGCTGAGATATTCTCGGTTCCTTCCTCCAATCATTACCTGCGAAGAAGAAAAGAAGGTAATGAGCAGCTAGCCTTGATGCGGAGAGCTTCCGTCCGCGTTCAATATCGGCAGTTTTCCAACACGGTGTCCTGAGCTTACGACAGTCACGTCATCGTTGCAGTTACGATGGTTGGTCGCCTAGGTTGTTCTAGTTGGTCTATACAGAAACCTGATCGTCAGGCAACTATGTCAAAAATGTCTTACACATGCTACGCATAATTTGTTAACTCTATGGCAACAGAACTCACAATCCGCGTATGGAATTATCGGCATGGATTTCTTAAATGCTGCCTTGGTCCGTGCTCGTATGGCATGCCAATAATCTAAATGGAAAAATAAAAATCAAGCTATAATTGAATTTACTCACTTCACTGCTCAAAATCACGTGTTGCTATACTAATATCAGCACTAATTACTAATTACTAATTATCAATTAATAAAATCAATAAATAATTACTAATATCCGCTATACTCCGTGTAAACCCCTTCGCACTGCCGCTACAGGAATCTTCCTTACGCGGCCAGATATGAACACGGTATTAATTCAACTTGGCCTGCGGTAATCGCACAACATGCCGAAAAATGATAGAATCCAGAAACCGAAAATTATTGAAAAGCATTAATAATGCATGTGCTGAAAAGTGAAACGCCTGAGAATAACCGATGATAACATAGCGCGCCGCGGCAACGCGCGCGTAGAAAAAGTGCGTTAGCTGCCGCCCATGGCGCATATTACGTGTGAGACGCGCGTGGCGCTGGTTGAGAGCCTACCTATAATATATACTATATATCATATATAATATATATATATATATATAATATATATATATATTATATATAACATATTATATGTATATATTCGTATTATCTGATAGCGTTTTCGAACATTCATCACCGTACTACGCAGTCTGCCCTGAAATACTTCGGCACACCTTCCAGAGCGAGACAGGACGTAGCGTTGCTGTGGCTTGCTCTATACATATGGAATTTACGTATGTGCTTTAATTGTTTTTTCCAGAAAATGACTGAAATAACGCTTAACACTGCGACCAATAAACAGATGGCATACGGGAAATTACCAATCCATCCAACCTGCAACATCCAAGCAATGACGTGTAGTAGGGCGACGAGTGCGTAGTTACGCGCTTAAGCGTAGCGTCCAAAGCCATATGGCTGCCCTACCACTATATAATTAGTAATTCATTCTCGCAATCAATGGACACCTACTCGACGGCAGTCATGTAGTTTTTTACCTCCAACTTAAAACTTTACAGGTTAAGAATGATTTTATGTGACCACATAGAATGGGCCTTCAGCCAGCAGTTGCATGTTCTGGCCTGCAAGCGACGATTGAAGCGGGAATGACCAAAACACAATCACAAATCGAACTATAGATGCCGAGAGCTCGTGAGCTGTTTCCTTATCGCCACAGCGATGAATTGAGCGAATTAATTAGATAAATATAACATGTCCTATTTGTATATTACTTTACATGCCATGTACGTTTACTCCGGAATGATTGGAATCATTCAGTAGAGCGTTCATACCCGCAGATTGTCAATTTGGATTATTTAAAAAAAAGGTGTTTTTCGGTTTTTTGATACCTGTCTCCTATAAATTTATGTAAATTATTTTTAAGAATTAATGAATGGAAAGAATAAACAAAAAATGATAATAATAGTAATAACTTAAATAAACAAAATAAATAAGTAAATAAGTTAAAAACAAATTAAAATAAGTAAATAAATAAACAAGTGAATGAACAATCGGAAAAGGAGCTTAATTTCATCCATTGAATAATACATCCGTCTGCATGATAACGTGTGGACGATACGGAACCAAAATAAATAAATAAATATTAAATGGGATCATTACATCTGTAATGAGTATGGCCTTAGCAGAGCGGGTGTTGAAGACATCGAATTAAAAAAAATTAAAAATTAGCAAAATAAATGAAAAGTTTCGTCGAAAAAGTCAAAAAAATTACAAAGCTATATGTAAACAGACACGCGTGTTGCGAGATGCGTGCCTCCGATATCCATTTCGAGGCCCGATAAGCCAAGCATAAAGCGCGCGGGCAAGGCGTCACACACACAGATACGTTCATTGGCTAAAACAATCGAGTAGCGCGGTTAGGGATTTTCGGAATTATTTAATTTTAAGAAAAACTTCAATGTTCAATGAATGACGCACTCGTTCACTTCCTAAAGCGGGTAAAAATGCTTAATTTTTCCACTTCGGTGCGAAATGCATCGGCCGGGCCTTTCATTATTTACGAAAAGCAAACAGTCAAACGCCAAACACTTACACGCAGTAACAGGTCACGTCGTTGACGCCCCATTCATGCCCATCAACGAAGAAGGCGGGGCTTATTCTGATTACGGAAATGCGAAAATGCAACAGAAGGACGTAGCGCAGTGCACTAAACAGCGTGTTGTTTTCGTATTTGTGTAAAACTCTATCGTAGAAAACCGTTCTAGCCTAGCAGAATGTCCTAGTTCCTGAGATCGGCGATTTGGTGGTCGAATGGATCCCCATATTTAAAAATATAAAACACTGGTGCGACGTAGGCTGTGATTGGAAGACACAAAATGTCAATCCTCGGCGCGCCTCGGCATCATGGCCGCATCAGGTATGTGGCGAAATCTTACTCAAAAGCCATTAGTTCATGTCTAAAAATACCATTTCAAAGACCCCCAGACCCCTCTATCTAGGTTCGTCGTGCTTAACGGCGCTAGCGCTGACGGCTTTGCCACAATTTCCTATTTTTTCAATAGTATAAAGTTTCACTGCTGTAGTAATAATAACTCCCACACAATTATTAGCTGGGTACGCCCCTGTATACTGCTGCATAACAGAGATAATCTAAATCACCATCACGACAAGAGACAGTGTAATGTAAGTAGACAGCATAATAAAAGCAGACAGCGCAATGGTCATGCAC